TTAGTTCGAATTTAAAAGAATTACTCTAATGACAGCGATAACCTTTGTCAGGAGATAATAGAGACACGTGAGCCTAAGACTATCGACGTTTGGTGTGGGAACCGTACTACACTGGATATCAATTTGACTGTGTTTAAAACCGATTTATTTTCAATGATGTGAATATACGCACCCATACACACAAAACAACAACATATACTATGAATTTCGTACCAATATTCGCATTACTGTCTAAGTGAGTCGTCTATTTGTGTATTTGGCGTTGTTGGTTCTTTTAATTTTAATGCCACGCATTTTAGTAATACAGATAAGTATTAAGTAAGTACGAATAACTTAGTTGTGAAATACAAAGATAAAGATGTTAGGCGTCGGCTATGGAGTTTTGTATATTTTGTGAATTAATTTTCCATGAAAAGACTTGTTGGGTGTTTTGTAAAGAATTTATTTTCACTGATTTTTGACGAGTTGAACGTAAAATAAAGGAAAAAAGGTATATTTGGTGGATTTTATTTTCACTGAATCATTCTTTCAGCGAAAATTTATTCTGAGCGAAAATAAAGTATTTTACAGTACGTGTTAGTTTGTTATGGTTGTCTGTTTGTATTCATTCAAAATTTGTGCTTACTATCACGAGAACGTATTCCTTCACTGTTAATTTTCAACTTATGTAAACTTCCACGAAATAGTACTGCTTGTTTTCATCAAATATACACATCAACATTTAAAAAAAAAGTATGTAAGCGATGTAATCTTTGACCTGACCGATAGTTATGTGGTTAATGTGTTCGCTTCGCACCAGCGACGTTTTAGATTCGATTGCTAGAGTCGACTGTTTACTCAACAGTATATTAAGTCACGGTACAATACGCACTGCCTTCCAATCGCATGATAAGCATACGCGTTCTGGTAAAGTAGTTCGCATGCACGTGTATTTGCAATTAGTACACACACAAAACGTCAAGAGAGACAGTTGCGGTAGTGACTTCAGCGTCCTTAAAAAATGGCACGAAAATTATCAAAACAAAACATACACTCTAATTTTCAAATCAGTAGGTCGCATCTTTGTTTATTCGCCAATAATGTCAGCGGAATGAAAAAGGCTCAGTGAAGAGACGTTTATTGTTCTGTTTTTCTCCGTGGTGTGGTTGCGCCGAGATGGGATATGACATTGCACACTCACATCCTTGTTCATTATGACTACGTATTTGTTCATAGTAGACATGCTCGAAAATTGGATGACCATTTAAAGAAAATGAACGAACGTGCTAGTCAAAGCAAATATAGTATTATTAGCTGTATGACGTTTTACGGCTGGATTAGGGGGCTGCATAATCCTCGCCAATATTCGAATTGAGTTCGCATCGAAGTACATGTTATGCGTTAACGACAGGATTTACGTGCAGCTTAGGAGATTGCCCAGTTTATCTCGCTCTATTGGCGGATTACGTTTGTACCAGTTTACATACATCCATTATTAAGTGACGTAATAGCCATTTCATTGCGTCATACATTGTTGTATTTGTGACGCTCCTCGAACCATGGAATGAGAAGTATTCCAATGTTTTTTATTTCACTAAAACTAAAACATAAGCGACCGAGGAATAAAAAGCAAAGCCCGAACAAATCCCAAGGCAACACGCGGCTGTCATGACGTCATGATCGCGCGAGTATATCTGTCTCGAGCGCACGACACAAGAAACATGATGCAATCGTCTAGTATTCGCCAGCCTAAGGCACGACCATCCACCAACACAATTGCTGTAGATGTGTATCATACAAGAATTGTTCTGTTTGATTGTTGACAATTTTTACCCAAATGTAAAGCACACATTTCATAGCAGAGTAATCCATTCTTGAGTACTTTTATATCTTGTTGTAAATTTTAAGTTGTCTAGGAATATAACATTATCTCTATGATTACTGAAGATACGTGCTCAAGCGGAACTCTTCCACAATTTCATATAATGACGGATGTTTTTTATCGCGAAAATATTGCATTTCAATGACTTGAGATAATATATAGTACGATTCTGTTTATGAAATCTTGCTTCTGCCTGCAATAATGAGAACAGTCGAGGCCGTCCCCTTACATCTGAGCGAATGGAGAGAAGCGACTTTGGACGTAAATGGCCGCTGAGATCCCGTTGAAAGTCGCGAGGGCGAGATTTGAGAACAGTGGACGAGAAGGCGGGAGAGAATTGAACATTATGTTAGGGGGAAGCTAGTCTCTTGGCTCTTTCGATCTCAACGAGAACACGGCCTCAATTTGAGTCTAAGGTCTATTCAGTCGCCTTTAAAACCCCGTACAAGGCGTGTTCAAAATTGGAAAATGTGCGTCATATCTATATCAATTCGAACAATTTCCTTTGTTTGAGTTCGACACAGCAAATGTAGCGCGTGGCGGATGTAAAATCTAATATAACACAAACTACAAGCAGAAAAAAATGTTTAATACAATGAAGGCAACAGTCGACGCCGCTGCACGAGCTCGATGTATAATGTATATGCGTTTTTGTGAGGATAGCGCAAAATATACACCAAGGCAAAACGGGATTGCATCGGAAGATACAAGCGTAGAAGTGCCATCGTGTTTATGTCGTGGTATGTCTGTAATATGTTATAGTAATAGTAATAGTACGTGGTCTGGTAGTTCGTATGTTATAGGTAATCCCCTATAACTATTATATAAGTCGATGAATTATCGAATATTTTAGTGGAAATCCAAGTTTCAACTAGTGTAGCACGGTGTCACAATTTATCAATTCAGCCATGCGCAGAATTCTTCTAGGCTGCGAAACATTACCTGGTGTCTAAAGATTTAGCGTCATCAATGGGTCGGTGACAGAAAGCATTGAGAAGAAATGGAGGAATTAACGACCAATAATCCAGCTTAAAACGGGGGCAATTACGAACCATTTTTTTAAAGACATTCGTTCCAACATCATTTCTGGCATATATATATGGGGGGGGGATTGTTTCTTAATGATGACTGGCACCCCTCCCCTCTATTCCCACTCCCTCCCGAGAGAAAAAGTTACCATACATGGTTACATTCTAGACAAAAGGGCACATGCGAACATAAAAGCGGCCTTAGTAGTTTAACGAGACGTCTGTAATGAACTCGAAATGTTTGAAATGCCCGACCAGTATCGCGATAAAGCCGTCAGGTTCGTTCATGTATTCCCGTTTTTTGTCTTATTAAGATAAAAGTATAAGGGCTTAATCACAATAAATGTGTACAAATTTGATCAGCTACATGCCTACATGCCTACACGTCTGGCTATATTCTCCTAGGACTGGTCGAGCATATTTCCAGTGCGTGTGCTTGGCAGTTTAACAAGCTTTTCTGAAATCGCAATTTAATGACACGATCGGAAACGTTTGATAATGTCTCAATTTGTGTCTGCTTAAACAACTGTTCTTGTACGTTCTACATAATTTCAACTACAGTGGACGCCGTAAATTAACTAATTTTATTAAGAGAAAAAAAAATTGTTTTTCCGGAATGTTCATGCCGTAAATAGTAGAGTTTCTTCTTCTACTTTTTTCGTTTATTGGATACAACTTTTAGTCCGAGCACTAAATGTATGCACGCACACGGCGGGGATGTGGGTGGAATTCAGTTACCGTAACTAAGTATACGAACAACCATCTTAGGCCACGTCTTGCGTGACAGTTGTTTCTCGAAATGGGGTCAAATGAAAATTGGTTTGTTCATTGGCCATGAAATACGACGCGTTTTTTTAACTTAGTCGAATTCGCCTAGTTTACATAGCATTACAAATCATCAACAGACGTAATGGGCATAAATATATTCCATTCGGCTCAGATTTCCACACCTGTTGCCGAGATGACAAGACGAGTGCTAAGATTTGAATGACGTCTGATATCAGAATTACCTATATACTGTTATTAGAACTAACATTCTCTAGACGATGAGATTAGTATTGGCTCAGCAATTCGTACGAGTATATGTCAGAAGCGAAATTCACTGCAACTCGTGTAGTTATACTGTGAGATCATTCCTAAAGTTACATTAGAGCTTAGGAAATATAAAATCTGTGATGTCAGTCCGTGAATTTGCGTGAATTACTTGAAGTACTAAACATCTAACTATAAGCGCGTCCGAATTTGGGCGAGATTTTTTAAATTTAATTTGTCAATGATTTTGAATACTGTTCAAACGTGCATAAATTTCCAGAGACTCGCTGCCCGTAGTCATTCGGAACCGGGGAAATCTGACTTCTCAGTTATTTCTCAACATTTGCGCATATAATATTCCACAGACCCCGATAGACCTTTTACTTGTCCATAGTGTACTTTGAAATAATTAAGATAATAAACTTTTTAAAATAAAAAATACCGAAAATGCTACTGCAATTAGACCCCATCTGTTCAATTTTATAATAATTATCAAATAATTGTATTATTTTGTGGTCCATATTTTGAAAGCGTTCAAAATTTGTGTCAGGGGTAACTTTAAGATAGCAGAAAAATCAGGAATATTTTTTTACAATGTTCGATTTAGCGTCGCATTATCCATTCAATGACTCTGTCAAGGAAGAAAGTTTATCTGCGCCGAAGATCATCGCCGTTGAGAGAATTTCTAATAAAGTGTGTATATTTCACTGATATATGTAATCGGGCGATACATTAATGTGAAATTACATGCATGAATGAAGACGATGGATGCTAGGACAATTACCGGTATCATTCTGTAAGGAACTTGAATGCTACTTCATCTCTTGTATCATGTAATTTGTCATTTTCTTTCTTTTATGAGACGTTTATTTCACCCGTATAATTGCCATGCCAGAAACAATACATTCACCCTGTGATGGTGGAGGGGGGGGGGGTGTTCATCACAAACTTGCCGATCACGGTTTTGCGAAATGTAGTACTACGTTGAATGAAATGTACCACATTAAAACAAATTAAATCTACATAGAAAACAAACACCATGATCTCGTAATCGATATTAAATAAATTGGAATGCTTACCGCTTTGACCATAAAGCCACTGTAGATTTCCGGGTCTGGCGGAGAGTGTGACATCCACTAGAGCAATGAGTACCATACTGATAGCTAGGAGTCTAAGCCAGCTAGATGATCTTCCTGACAATACCATGGTGGAGTTCTTTTACTGTTAGGATGGTGTAAATAAGTGCGAAAAAGTAGCAGCCAACTCTTACAGTTCTTATACGTGGTTTCAGAGGCTCGAGGGTGTCACTCTCTTTACTGTGATGCTACGGCCGCGACTGAGTCTGGTGTGTAGAATCACCTCCCTTTAAAAACCGTCTATTTCCGCGCATGCGCATATGATTTCCGATTGTCTTTCTCGTCAACAAAAGAAACCACCGCCAAAGTATTATAATCTGCGTCGTCGGAATCTCGCCAACACTATGGAGTGACGTCATTATTCCGTCACGGACGTGGCTCCATTGAACAATAATGTTATTTCAGTAGAAAAGTAATTAGGTCGTGCTGCTGGGAACTGCTAACACACAGTCTAGTGCGAGACCGAGGAACAATCAACACTCGTGAACAGGATTAAAAAGCATCAGAAGAACTTGAAAAGCTTTCTACAACGCAGTAACTTCATCACGCGCTGTGATCAGTTTTTCATTAAAATGATGCTACACTTAGTATGATCACAAATATGAACTAGACCTTATTCCCAAACTAATAGCACGCCGGAGTCTCTAATTACGTGTCATTACTTGAACTTGAACAGAAAGTGAAATCATTATGAAGTCTTTTCCGTCGTAACAACATGTTTGACGCGTTGTGTACGTCGCTATGAGTCCCATATCGAACAGGACGCGACGCGACGACCACCGCCCTTTAGTACCGGATCATGGTCGCGGATAACACACCTTTGGGACGGGGATGTTCTCGAACTTTACTAAATTATTCTCTGCGATTACTTGTTTTAAATTTCCGGAAAAACAAACTTGAGATACCAGCACAACAAAAATATGAATCTTAAGTGTACATCCTAAATTAGGAGTTGGCGCTACGGGGGGTCGTTTCCATGGAAACGAGTTCAGATTTGTATTTTTTCTTTGTAATTTATTTGAAGTATACTTTCACTCAACGAAATATCAATAATTTGTAGTGCTTTTGAAATTTCCACATTTTTTTATTGGTTAACCGTATTAATCAGTAAGCTTTCTGAGTCATTATTAAACTTTGATCAATATTTGCAGATCACTTTTCTCGTTGCGAACAAATAGATTGATTATTTTTTACTGCTGTTCTGAAGGCGTGTGCATTGATGAAATATGCAGCGACGTAACGAGGTGTGATATTCCCTTCGTGCGTGTAAGAGTGTGAATCGCGCTTCGGAGAACGGGAGCAGCCAAGTCAGTCATAATAAGGGTGTCAAAAGTGAAAGGATCGCGCGTCCCGACGTACGTGATAAGGGCCTAGTCGACGAGACGAAAATGTCAAGGAAAACGAGTGATAATTAGCATGTATATTTCGTTTACAGTGAGGTGAGAAACTCTCGCTGAATAAATTGGCGTATATTAAATGCTCGGTTTACTGAATGAATTTATTAAAGTGAGACGTCTATATCTTGTGGCCATGATTAATTTTATTTCGGAAATAATGATTTCGTCTACCAGTGGTTCAAAAGCAACTTGCATAATTATATATTTGACAGCCCAACCTATGATTAATTAGCCCATCTTGATATAAAATAAATGTTTTGACATTTCACGATTCAGTACGGTAGCTACTAGTAGAATATTGAATCCTTTGTATTTTTTTAAGAATACGATCATCAAAATTACACATTCATTTGAAAACCAAACCACAAACTGACTCGAAGCAAATTTAAAGAATGAGCACTGTATTTGTCAATTAAATTGTTGCTGCCTTCACGAATTCTCGTGACGCAATGATGAAATACGCAATTTGCGCATGCGCTTTGAATTACTGATGCGTTCAATAAATTCAAAGCCCATTCGCATCTATATATAGGTCATTATTTATTAGTTGTGTGATACGGAAATTTGGAAGCTCGTGCGTATATCGAAATAATAATAGTATATGAGAAAACTGCTAACAAACAAACGTACGGGTTCTCTAAACGAGAGAGGTCGGTCGAAGCTGACATTTTGTAATCACGGTACTCACACATCTTGTTTCAATGTACAATAAGAAACAATACGCATATTATCGGCAGTCACAGAGATGGGCGGCTCTCCCTTTAAAATTCAAGACGAATGAAGTTTAATTTTATTTTCTTCTCCCGAAAAACGCGGCGGAGTCCGGCTGTGGACTGTCCCTGGCGTACACCCAGTCTTGATAAAACACCGTGACTCCGTTATGAGCGGTTCACGCAAGCGGATTTAACATTCATTTCACTTATTGTGACCGTGAGTGTTAATAAAATTTTCTGTTACGTTGTGATAGGCTTAAGAGTGAATTGTGAGGCAAACGAACTCAATAATTGAGTTCGAAGCAGTACGTCATAACAGCTTGGCCCAACCAGATCACGTGCTCAAATTCACGGAATCGCCGATCGTGCGCACTGGGGTATTATAGCGACTTCAAAAATACGTAAATACTAAAAAAATACGTTAATACACCACAACATTTGTACCAAGGCTGTCTTGAATTAGTCAATGGGCGTTTAGAATTTTTGGGGGTTATATGTTGCAACCTGTTTAGGGAAGGATATACAATATCAAAATACCGACAACTTGGTCGAAAATCTCCAATTCTCGATTGCCATGGTACAAATTAGGTATATCTTGATCATGGTTGCTACACATATGCCGTAATCATAACATATTAAATAGTACATAGTCGTTTTGGGGAATGAGGAAGACGGAGTGAAAAGGAAGTGGTAATTAGTCACAGTCATTTACCGATGTTTCATGTATTTGCAATGACAGTGATGTGAAAGGCACCGACACACGGTGACATTTGTAATATAAACAATCATTACCAACTTAGGAGAGTTTAATACGATGTCCATTCACTAAACGACCATTAAACAGGGATGCCAGGAATCCTCTCATAGCATCGCTATTTATTTATAAAAAAAATCGTACAAAGTACGGTGTTTTACCGGTAAAGTATTAATCATCGGCGGCTGGTAATAAACCGTAGAAAACGTTTATTGGAGTCGACGACACCTGTGGCCATTCGTGCACGTGAAAACACAACTCAGTTACATGTTTGCTGTGTGCGGAGTAGTCGAACACGCTACTAACGGCGTGTAATATGCTGCTACGATATAAACTAATTGTGATATACGTTACTGAACTTCTGTCACAAATATCGAATGATTTTATTTCAAACATGTTTTTTTGTTTTTTTTATAATTCAATGTTAATGTACCGATATTTCTTATGAGAGCATGGTGTTAAGATACTCTTACTTCATCAAAATTGACTATCATCATTATTAAGGCAGACAAATGCATTTGCCCTGCAATATTTAGTCAAAACAGGGAAATCAATTACAACGACTTTCACCGTCTAAAATTTGAAATACATGTAATCAAATAATTAAAATGACATCATATCTAAGTATTGATAAATACATCCTTACAATTGAGCATTGATTCACGCCAAAAAATTGTTCTCATTCAAGTAGTCTTCAAGGGAATTTCTAGTGTTTACTTAACGACACAGAGAAAGCCCGCATTGCGCAACGTGGAGTCACGCCCCGTAGCAGCGCGTAGCGTGCTAAAAAAATATCTTTTCCGCCTTCACTGGCATGTAGTCTTCACTGACATGCTGCTATAACAGCTTACTTCAATATTCAGCAGTCACCTGAATTGTGGCTCTAAAACAAACGGCCAAGTGGCTAAAGACGGTAACACGACGCATCCGTGGTGTAAATGCTATTGAAATCGTTACCAAAAATAGGCGGGAAATAATCAAACGCTTCTGTTCCGGCCACAAAGCCGGTATGTGTATCGTTATATATGAAGTAACGGGAATTTCTGCAACAATGTTTTCATTATTTCAGGATTTAACAAAACATTAAACAAAAACTCGTGTATTTTTCACTGCTGATGTATTATTCCGATAAAAAAACATAAAGCAAGCTCATCAAAACCTTCGCTGTTTCTCATTAGCATAATAAGGTCGCTTTCTCATTCCGCCAATGAGCGCAACGCTTACAGTTTCACGACGCAACCGCTATACTTTCGTGCCATGACAATACAAATGCCGTCTGGTTGTTTCGTGTTTTTACGATTCAGTCATCTAGAATAGAATGACAAAGCAGCGTTTTATTCTCAAATAATGCCCCGTTTTCTCATCTCATCGCATTCCCAACAACATTTCGGTTAGAAAAAATCTTTTTCTGAATTTCAGAAATATAATAAAAAACGACCTTTTAATAAATCACGTGACTCTCGCCTAGCACGAATCACGAGTCCATTCCGCGACTGTACCGAATCAGTAACATGAAAGCATTATTATTCGAAAAAAATATTTGTGAAAATGTTTTTATTTTAAAATACCAGTTGGCTGTTTGTCTTGAGCGAAACTGTTTTTAGAACATGGACCTACACGATCAATTTCGTAATTATTATTCTTTAATCACCCCAAGTTCCCTTTGAAAACTAATCAATATAACACAATAAGTATTGAACTTAGTTATCGTAATTCACTATGAACGTTAAAAATACAATATGAATGTAAATATGTTATTTTTAATAATGTACTTCTTTTTGTTTGACACTGAGTATTAATGAACTTGAAAAAACGTACGACAAATCTAAGTACATGTATTCTTCTGGGAAACACTAGAATTCTCTGAAAAATGCGTATGTGCGGTAAACACGACCACAATTACTGCTTCATGCGTATTGAAAATTTTTCATTTTTCATCTCTCAAATAATGCTGTGTTTTGCAAAACAACATTTTTGTTTACAAAGAAACATAAAGCAATTAGGTTTTTAACAAGCAGTGCCAATCAAATATTACAACTTAAAATATTTCAAATTTATCATTTTTTTTTACTGTTCACAAAAACGACTGGTTTATGGCTTTGTGTGTGATATGCAACCAATTGAAAAAAAAACTGATTAGCCGAAACTTCGCGACAGCTTTTGTACAAATTATGGTCATATGGCACATACACTACTCAGTTCGCGCTCGTGGTTTCCGAAACTATAACCAGTACGTAACTTCCGACTAAACCACGTGGTCTGTATGATTTGCATCACGTGACCTGTTTGAATTATACATCACGTGAAACAGATGTACACAAATGAAGAGGGAA